GGCTATTCCACGCATAGCTTGCATAGCTTGAAGGGTAAGAGAGTCGAACATAAAGCCAGAATGAAAAAGAGGAGTAGAAAGTGAGAGTGCGTTAGAAAAACGAAGTTGTCGATCATGCGAATCACATAGATATTGGAATTTACATTTTAAGTAATCAGGAGAACGCGGATTGGAGAGAACAGAAAAGAGTGTGCAGAGCAGACGTAGCTGTCTCCGCTTACGTACGAGCAGCCATTAAAGCTGACAATGAGACCAATAGAAACATGATCATATTTCCTCATTCAGAAGGAGAACTCATTCAGAAGATCTTCGTTTAAGTCAGAGTAACAGACATCCGCATAACCAATGAGCGGTAGAATAAGGTAGGGAGCAACAGTGACCTTAGTTTTAATAGGCAGAAAATTTCCGTAACAATTAACTGAACTTTCGCAAACAAGTCTGGTTACACACTGACCGTGGTTAGTGCGCCCGCAATGTACTTGTACGCGGAGAGCGCCTCGTTGTGCGGCACGTGGCACGCGCCGGTGCGCAGGCGCCGCACCTGCGCCGCCACCGCGCCCACCAGGCGCTGCTCGTGCGCCGCCAGCGCAGCGCCGCGCCCGGACACCAGCGCGCCCGATATCAGCGACAGCGCGCGGATCGCCGCCTGGCGCAGCGCACACGTCACACGTATTAGTTATTTAAGATGCGAGTGCGGGAAGTGAGGTTTTACGAATAAGGGCCAAATTTAAATTCAATTTGGCACGAATTCGAAAAACCTTTTTTAACACCTTTGCTCGTAAAGCTGATGTAATTCCACCGGTTTCAAATATGTAAAGCGGGTCATAAAAAACGCGTGTGTTACCAAAGCAAATAGTTAAGTTATAGTCCATACAAATTCAAGCAAGAGTGTACATTCACAGATTGAGTCTATTTAATGGTTTTTTTTCTGTTTCCTCCCAAATGTATTAAAAAACGTCATACGATATATGTGCATATTGGTTATATCGTAATGTACTATTACGCTCAAGTTTCTTACAACATTTTTCAATGCTTTTTGCGAGGAAATACAACAAATATATAGGTTAATAAAGTATGTATTAAAGGTAAAAATTATATGTTAAAATTAAACGTGATATTTGAACATGTTGAATGTGTATGTGAAAATATTCGTTCTAGGCTCCTTGAAATGCTTTTGCCTCTAAAGTTGGACATAATTTCATTAATTTTTTTCTTTTAATTTCTGTGGTGGTCGGCCAAAAAAAAAAACTTTTAAGCACGTGTGCAGTGAAGGATTTCAGTACATTTTTATTTAACACATGATTCAAGACTCACTTGTTTACAATGGATTAAAAAATAGCGCTTTATGGACAACTGCATTGAAAATTACATAAAGACACATCGCAACCGTTGGCGGAACGTCCAAGAGGCGACCGAAAGAACGACTACAATAGAGATTACGGCGATACATTGAGTTAAAATGTCACGTGACGTCACGCTTTTGTACATTTTCTACAAAACTGTGACGCAGCGAGCCCCCGTTCAACTTGAACGCCTGTTATCTAAGATACTTCTTATTAAATTGAAGCAACAAACCTTTTTATGCTGTTTAGTAGTTATATTGAATAAAATCGATTGTTTAAAGGGCAAAAGTTGAGAGATCCTTCTTTGTATTTTGACATAGATTCGATTGAATATAAGTATGGCCCGCCAAAATGTATAACGCGCATAACTTCCGAACGTCTGCATCAAATTGGAGAACAAGGTTTGTATTTAAGAAAATTTATATTAAAAAAATCAGTTGCGACTGCGAGAAATAAAATGTGGTAGTAAGAAGTTCACTGGGCCAGCTAGTGCTGTTATAATTCTTAATACTCACTTTGAGATCTGGACTCGCTATAGAGTGTATGATGTCAGCCAGTTGAGAGTCGTCGACGGAAGAATTCGTTATTTTCTGCGACACCAACGGATGCACCATGCTGCATAATTCAAAATACATACATATACAATCTTTCTTTTTTAATTTATTTTAGTGGAATTTACAAAAGACTCGGTGTCTATCAAATGTAACATTATAACAATAATACAATTTAAGAGTCATTAATTTGATTACCAAATTATGTTTTTAGTTCTTCAACATACTGAAGTGTTATCCGTTACAAAACTATTGCACATTTTTGTGATGAGCTATCGTTGTTAGCTGTGGACTTCACCCTGCCCCCTTAGAAATAGGTATTTTTAAGTGTCGATACCTATTCAATGCAAATCTTCTCTCTTCATAATAAAACAGCATAGATGTAGTATAGTAGTGCGGTGGCTCGGCGAGTAGCTCGGTGGCGTAGTGGATAAGTGCCGCGGCACGCGCTCGTTGTCGTTAAGCAACTTTCGCAAGGGTCGGTCACGGGATGGGTGTCCAAAAAATTATCATCTCGAGCTACTCCGTGTTTCGGAAGTCACGTTCAGCCGTTGGTCCCGGCTGCATTTGTAGTCGTTAATACCCGCCAATCCGCATTGGGCTAGCGTGGAGGGTCATGACCCATACTCCTTAACCATTCATTAGGAAGGCCTGAACCCCTGCAGTGAGGGCGAAATAAAGTGCTGATGCTGATGATGATAGATGTAGTAGAGTACTACTCGAACGATTTGACATAACACTCGAAGCCTAACACACTTCGAAAACAAAATCCCATTTATTTTCGAAATGCTAATACGACTCGAAACTCATTTTACTATAATTTATGATACAACACAGGACTCTGACTCTGATGCATAGATCATATATCTTCACGGATATGAATTTTGAATAGGTCCTGATGTGTCATATTAATGTACGTACGTAACGTACGAGTTTTATATACATATATATTAACCTGTTCTGTGTGTTGTGAGTGTTGTGCGCGTGGAGGTGGTGTGTGGGTCTGGCGGCGGCCGGTATCGGCTCGTCGAGGAACCGCAGGTCGTGGTCAGGCAGCGCGGGCCTCTTCACCACCGGCACGGCCGCGTCCAGCTTAGCGATCAGCTCCGGGTCCAGACCGAACGGACCGGTGATCACGCGCGCCTCCGTCGGACTAACATTCACGATCGCATCAGATTATTATTTTCATTTTATTTATAACATTTTACTTATAATTTATTATGATACAAATATCTAGTATATATTTCTATTTTTTAGTTGGCATGGAATTTTTGACCTCGATATTTTTCATGACAACTTTCGAATACTGCATCGACCTACTATTTGACCTTAAAGTAAAGAACTAATTTAATTATGACATATGAACTGATTATTTTGACAACTGAAATATAATATTGACTTTTGAATAAAATCTTGTATCTGTTGGTTTTGTATTGTGTCATATTTTTGCAGGATAATTTAGTAATTAATTACAATATCTTGTAATTGTAATATAAACGCATATAGAATATCTTTGTAACAATGCTATGCATGACTATAAATGTCATAAATGCTTCTATTCATTTTTATAATTATGATGTTGACGTACCTTGAGTAAATAAATAAATAAACATACAGTTCCTACAATGATTTTATTTTTCTTATGTTAACCTCCACAATTAAAACAAAAAAAGAAAGCACTCAAAGTTATCACTATAGAGAAAATAAAATGTTTAAAAGTTACTGTAAAAAAAAAGGAATAACATACATAAATAACTACAATAATCTTCAGTTAAATATATATTAAGAGACCAATGACACGATTTTTAAATATATTTAATGATGACTTAAATACATCTATGCCACATTCAATTTATCATTATACAAAACACAAGCTCTCCTTATAAAACTATTTTTAGGATAGCAAGTTTTACTGGGTTTATTATAGAACATTTTTTACGGATATTTATTATTTTATATATAACTTTACTTTCGAACGTGCTAACTTTATATGTGTGTAATGAACACATTATCATGTCCTATATTTCTAAAATCGGCAGAAAATTCTCAAAATTCCGAAATCAAAGCAAACAAAAGTGCATACGAGTCAGATACAGATTTTTAAATTCTCTACTCGTTTGTGGATCTCCATTTGACAGTTAATTTAAAAATGAAAGTAACCTTAAAATTTATGTGTGGATCGATTTTTGAGTTTGTTCATAACAAAGCAAAAATACAAAAAATATAAGTAAATAAAAACACATAGTTCTATGTTACGTACGACGTAGCTTTCCCATAGTGGGTGAATTTTTATTATTATCGATCCGGTATTTCCGAAGATTATCATTCCCTTATCCTTTTACAATATCATATCTTCAGATATAATATCGCAAAAGGAGAAAATAGGCTAAAATGACTCACGGATTCACTGGAGGCGGTGGTGGTTCCTCCTCTTCCTCTTCTTCAGGATATTCGGTGGGCGGCATATCCACGGAAATCACACGGCGCGGCGGCTCCTCCTTCATCGTAACGATTATTTATAAACATAATTTCAGAATTATGTTATTTTGTCAGAGACCTTTTTATCAGCTTATCACATTAAGACGTGTGAAGATAAAATACTCTAGATAATATTATTATTGATAAATTAAATAACAGTGAGAATGGTTAAGATATTTCAATCACTCATTCCTTACTAAATGTTTGAAACGGTCTTAAAACGACACTTGTGAAGCGATCCAATATTTTTGCAATACAGGTTGAAGTCTTCCAAACTAAACAATTACATAGAAAATTAAAAGGTCTCGTTTTGTTCATACCACATTACCAAAGCAAGAATAAAAAATCAGTCATTTACTAAGATATGAAATCTTTAAAAGCTTGACTTGACAAGGAATGACAAATGCGTCTAGGTGTCGTCATTGTGACGTCAGTCTTATAAGCCGTAAGAATCACAAATAAAAAGAAACCATTACCACCGCATTATTTTATGCAAATAATAACTATCCGACACAGAAGTAAACCATAAATGTAGGAGTTTTGCGTTTAAAAATAAGCAAATGATTTAGAAAATTATACTCAATGCATGAAGATGCTTAGGGTGCCTGGAATTGTTGATTGATGATGAGTTTATTGATGTAAATTGTTATGTTGATTTATCCTTTCATGTAGAATAAAGTGTTAATTCATTCATAAGACAAGATATGTGCTGTTGACTGTACGATATTAATAATCATCCGACTTCATTAGAAGTTTTTTTAATATAATAACCATATTTCATATAAATATCACAAGTGACAAATCACTTGTTAATGCTCTTTTTAATTTGTGCAGAAGGTAAATTTTCGTGCTGTACGTTCCTTAATTTAAAAAAAAAAGTATTTAGAGTATATTAACCTCTGGTTGTTGTAAGATAGGCTTCCCTGTGGCGGAAAGCGGTACAACCATAGCGCGTCGTGCTTCCGCGCTTCGACTTTTACCCGCACGTTTTATGCGCTCTTCTAGCAAAGACAAGTCCTTGTCAGATATCTGCAACAAACGAAATTTATTCAAACCTAGATACCAATTCGAAAAGTGACCTAATTGTTACCAAAAGCTATAAAAGGGAAATACCGACCACAAGAATGGATTTTTAGTCTCTTCAAACAAATTCAATGTGGTATAAAGTTTTGATATGGAAGTTCTCATTGACAGCGGTGCAGTTACGTCATTTTGTGATGGATTAATTTACAGAAGTGTAACGATAATGAAGACAATAATATGCAGATAAATGATGTCTTATAATGAATAATACCAAGCCGCGCTACAGTAAATTTATGTAAAAGCGGTCTAACACAAATCTTTGAATGTGAAACTGGGGCAAAAGCTTCGTATGGCTTCTTTCATCTAGTGAGGATCGTTCCTCACTAGATGAAAGAAGCCTTACGAAGGTAGTATGGGTGTGACTTACACGAGTTTGATATTTAACTACACATTTTTTCATTGGTAAAAATAACAATAAATAATATTATAGTGACCTGTCCTATCATCTTGTAGACCTTCTCCCCCTCGAGGAAGTAAGCGCAGGCGACGCAGTTGAGTGCGGCCGACCGGACGGCGTTATCTCTGTCGCCGATGTGACGCGCGAGCTCCTTCAACGCCGCGCCACCAGTCGGCGACATCACCGTCGAGCCGTACGTCTCCAACAGGTGGCCGATGCATTCCAGACATTCTGTATGTTACGCTCAAAGATTGATATCGCTCCGCCCATTGTGCGAAAAAATAATTCACAAAGCGTTGTGCCAATGAGAAAAGCCACAACGCGTTCTGAGCATTAATTGGTTTAAATAGCTGTTTCATATTACAATAGCAATTTGCTGAATGTATATACTCTAACCTAACCTAATCAAATATGGTTCAATACGCTTAGTGGTTTTTCTTCATTGCCACAACGCGTTGTGGTCGAATAGCATGACAGCCACGACATTGATTTCTCTGTGTAGTTAATTTAACAGAACGCGTTGTGAGCGTTTCCATGAGAGCTATAACACGAATTGCTCTAAATTGATATTTTAATGTGACCACAACGCGTCGTGAGTGATTTTGATCTTTTAGCGTAATAGTATAGCTCGTGCGAATTGCCTTATACCTGAACAACTATTCTATTTGTCCTCGAATAAATATATGGAAAATTCCGGAATCGTTGTTACAATTTCGTTTAAATCATAACCCTTATCATACATTTTCTGTAAATTTAATTAGAAAATAGACGAAATTTTCTTATTCGGAGAAATAGAATAGGCTTTCAACTAAAATGGCGCAAGGTTGAAGCAACATTGGCCCAGAGCTGGAGTTCTTTTTTAACCATTCTCCTCGCGTTCGCCGCTCGTTAAATGACAGTAAAGTACTACACGTTTTAAACGAATTAATAAAATATAGAGCTACAAGACACATGTTCTGCTCAAATCAAACTATGATTCATGGTAAGGTTTACCAACCATAAGCAGAGACCACATTTATAGGTCACGCCGATGTGTGAACATGCTCATTTATCCTAGCATGCAGTCTTATCAACCAATCAATTAATTAAAGTGACCAATGAAAATGACCCCATAATGTGCTTAATATCGTGACAAATCTGGACAATGTCCGTTTATGTTCACTCAATACCATAACATTGCTAAAGTTAATTTCAAATGTTCTTAATCAACTTCAGCTAGCTTTTTCTGTACAAATTAACGTTCATGATACCAATAAAAATAAAATATAGTTGTACATTTGCATTTTCAGTGGCATATAAGTATTTATTCAGCATCATGGGACAGAAATGAAGCATAACAATCCGATTTTAGCTAGAAGAGATAGTAGGACCATACTTGTCTCCCTTTATTGGTTGATATTTATCTTGAATTGGGACAATATGCACTAGATTTAAAATAAAACGTTACTCACCCGCTCTCTGTCTGGCGTTCTTTGATTTGAGACCCTCCATCAAATAGCCAAACAACTTGGTCACAGAGTATACGACGCATATCTGCCTGAACAATGCCTTTACACCGTTGCGCACTGTATCTTTAGGATCTCCCACCTAAAGGACAAGTAAATAACTTATATTTTGATATTTTATTTAACTATAATGCAATCCTCAAATTCAATAATAGTTATACTAGGTAGCGACTATTGAGTTCAAGTCGTAATCTAGTACATATAAAGTAATTGATGATAAATAATTTTAGATTATTTTGGAGGTACCACTCATATGAATCATGACACCTAGCTCGAAACTCCGAGTTCCCTTTTTAAGAGTTCTAATAGCTACTTAATTTACTATTTCTAAAATTTAATTTATTATTTTTTTACTCCTCTATGAAACTACTTTTGCCTGTAATTTGTATAAAGATTTCTATTCTCTAGTATACCTTCTGCAAACTATAACATACCTTGAGAACGAGATACGGTATGAAACAGTTCGCTTCGTACTCCGCCATCGTGTAATCACTGTCCATCAGGTATTGAAACACCAGTGACAAGTACTCCAGACCTTTCAGTATCACAGACGGGTTCGTGTCGAAGAATCGCAGCGTCAACCATTTCAGTACTAAATCTAAATTCGCCATTAGCGCAGGCCCATTGTCTTGAAGGTCTTCTGAGAGAGCCTCGATAGCTTTGAGGTGATATCTGTAACAATATAATAATGATTCATTTATATCTAAATAGCGCAATAAAACTATTTTTTCCACGACGTGAACAGAGAATTATGATTTTGATATATAAGGTCATTTGAGTGTGCACTCTAATCTTTCTATATGTAATACAATAAAATCGGAAAAGGCTTCTTATTTTAGATAATTCCTCATCGGGCAGCACTCCCCGATTTACAGATTTAGATGTTACCATTTTCCATTTACAGATGTTAGTTGTAAATATAAGTAGTACGGCACTCCACGACAGGGACTCTTAGAATATCAGTGCTTTTGTGATGTTTACTGTCACAAAAGATATCACTGAGAGAGCCTCCTGGTTGGCCACCCAATATATATTTGTGGTGTTTTTTTTTTTCTTTCTTTCTTTTAATAATGTTGCACGTGTTGTGCTGTTTTATGTATTTAAAGGCCAATAAAAACTTTTTCTTTCTTTCTTTCTTTCTAGATATATATATATTTACGTATTACCATTTATCTCAAACCAAACTTCAGTTTTGATGTATTATATAAAAAATACCTAAAATCGCTGTGGAACATGTTGGCTACGAGTTGCTTATTCAGTCCGGCCGTTGACATCTGCTCTTTCAGTAGTTCGAAGAACTCTTCACGGGGCGTTGTGAAGTTCCATTTCAACACTGAAACATAACAGCATTAATAATAATCAAAACTTGGATGATCTAGCAATTAGCGCTGTTAATACAGCGAGATCAAACTGACATGACGCAATGTAATTATTCGTTAGTTGACCGAGTTGCCAGTTGAAATCAATCAGAAATATTTTCTGTGAATTGAATTTATGTCAAAATATTGACATTGTAATATAATAAATACCTTTCAATTTCTGATCATCTATAATGCGTTGGTTCTTTGCATTGTTGTTCGGCAGTAAAGGTGAACAATCTTCATCATCTTTCTTGCCGCGGCTGGAGGCAGACGTTGGTTTCGCGATACCCTACAGTTAAACATCTAATTTATTAAAACATTAGTTGATTAAGTTTTGATAAGACAATTGGAAAAATATCAAAATACAGAGAAGGTATTGCCTTATAAAAAATATTTTCTTATTCATAGCCAAATGTAAGTCCAGAGAAAACGATTTATTTTGAAAAATTATATGACAACTACAATCAACAAAAAGTGTAATAGATTCTTTACACACCTAAGAGTCTCATTGATAAAGCCTATGTAAATTTAGAGAAATACTATTTATTTAAAAGAATTTTATCATGACTACTTAAATAACAAAGATTCTTTACACACCTACAAGTTTCATTGATTTCTTTCTATCATCTTTGAGTACAAAGATCTAAAGATTTTCCTTTCTTACCTTGCCTTTAACAGCAGGAGCTCCTTTCTTCTCCGCGTCCTTTTTGAGTGCGCCTGCGGTTTTGACACCTCGCTGTTCTTCTTTCTTGCCTTTGGAAGGCAGAGGTTGCACTGGTAGTAGAGGCCGGGCCTTATCTAAAGCCGCTTGCACCACTGACTTTGAACCCGGCTGGTAAGGTGTCAGATATTTACTTATCAATACACAAGAGAACAACTGCAATGAATAGTGCTCATTCCCGTCACTTAAAAAAACCTTTGGCGAAATACCAGCGTAGTACGTAATTAGTAGAATAAGGTTATGCAAGCGGGTACGATTAGATACTAATAAGCATATATTATTATTGGTGATAGGAATAGATTGTACTTATTAGCCTAAACTTCGAAGAACAGAGACTTCATTAGGACTATTTCACTTATTTCAGTGAAATCAAGATTAAACAATTATTTAAAGAATTTTAAAGTGTGTCACTAAATAATATGATCCGATAATTATTTTAGCATTATGCACATTTTGAAATATATTTTAGTATGATAAATACATTTTTTTTATAATTGACGGCAGTTTCATATAACGCACCAAATAAATATTTTATGAAAACACCAATAAACGCCCAATCGTCATATTTCTTATCACCTTTATCCTGAACCTCGCTAAGGTTTACAGAAGAACCCTGTCATCTACCACCTTCGGCTCAGTTTGAGCCGTTGGTAATGGCTGCATTTGCAGTAGTTAACACCACCAATCCGCACTGGGACCGTGTGGTAGTTTATATATACATCTATAGGGAAGACCTGTATCCTAAATGTGGGCCAATAATGAATAACTTCTGTGATATGTGCCAATAGAGATTAAAGACTGTACCTTGAGTTTATCCATTTGCTTGTGCATAGCATCGTAACCGAGATGAAGCATGAATGGAAATACACATTCTCCGGCCGCCTTTCTCACGTCGGGGCAACGATCTTCAATACACGCAAATAAAATGGGCACGCATACAGACAACTCCTCGCGGGAAATAGACTTCGGAGGAACTGTACAACAAACAATGTATTCTACATAGAACTATAGCACATAAAATTCTATTAATTTTGGACTTAACTAGTTAGTTTTTAGATACAAACGAAGGTTAAAAAAGGATGGAAGGTTTTCTGATAGTTTTTTATAACAGATGTGTTATTTATATCTAATATATGAACAGTCCAACTATACTTTATAATGATAGTTTTAAATTATTTGGAAATACAAATTGCATGTCACACGTGAACAGCTGGATAAATTTCTCAATGTTTTTTTTGTTGAGCTTGATATTGTCAGGAGAAAGTTTTTATGAAAGAAAAAGAATAAGAATATTGTATGTAAAATTTGAAAATTTAACCACCATATGAAATTATTTCTAATCTAGCTAATAGCTTATAGTCAGATATATAAGAGGCCGCAGTTATCGGCACTTAGGAGATTTTGCATATTCTTGACGATTATAGCGATTACAGCTCTTTTTGCTATGAGTAATTACTGGAGTTACAAAATATGTATAAAAACAAATAATGTAATACTAATTCTTTATTCGAATAAGTTTTTCAATCGTGCCAATTTTATTTCCCTACCAATCGTTCAGGACGTCTATTGGTTGACAAGAAGAATGAGCGAAAGAAATCTAAAAATCTTATTAATAGCACCGACCGATATAAGACATAACTAAGACAGGACAACGTCTGTTACCTTGCGGCAAGTGTTCCTGCAGCCATGTGAGCAGAGTCGCCCGTTGCATAGTGGATCCGTCCTTGAGTGCGTCGTACACGATCTGACCGTCGAAGGGGGCGTCGCCGCCGGCCTGTGTGCACCACGCCTGCACGCACGACAGGGCCGCCGTGCGGATCCACACCTTGTGGTCGCTGAACGCTGCGCCGATGCAAACAACAATACGGTATATTTATATGCATCTGCAGAGTACGGTATATTTATATGTTTCCGAGTTCGCGTTATTTAAAGTAGAAAATCTATTGATTTATTAATGTGCATTAAAATTCGAAACTCACTTCACTCATGCCACGAAACGTTATTACCAATTCAAGATTTTGCAGATGCCGCTTTTTGAAGTGAATTCGAACACCTGAGTAAATTAAGAATCGGATTCGATTTTAACAGAATCGCAGCGCTGATTTAAAAAGGGTTAGATATATTTTATTACGATCATTATTTCTTTAAAATAAAGTCTGTGTAAATATTATACAACATTAATTTGTTTTCGTCTTGAAAATATTATATTTATTTTATAATATTCAAACGCCATGTTAGTTGTCAGAGCGGATGTGATGAAAATGCACACGTATGCAATAACATAAGTGTATTTACATCAGTGTATATATAAATAAACAGATTACAATTATGTATTAAACTTTCATTTTTATTTCACCAATTTGGCAAACTATATGATTATTGAAAAAGTGTAGTATAATATTTGTTCAATTTTGAAATTTTTGCTCTGTAGTAGCGAAAAAGTAACAAGTGTTTGAAAAATTCACCAGTCCTGCACGCGTAGCATGACGAACTCGAGAACGTTTTGTCTACACTCAAATGTCACTTTTCTCGGGTCCACCCTACGATATCTCACTCTTGACCCGACAAACTGACAAATGAGTGTAGACAAAGCGTTTCTCGGGTTTGTCATGCTACGCGTGCAGTTAGGTCCTGGTTAGATAGTCTAAGATCCGAACCTAAATTGACCTTCACCGGGTTGATAATAGAATAAAACTTATTATATAATTAATTTAGTATATTAGAAAATATATTAAAAATGGGTTCGCTAAAAAATCCTGGATAGAATATTTACTTCCATTTCAATAATGTCCTGGATTTTCAAAGGAGTTTGATCTCCGATAAAACCTGTTTGTTTTAAAAAACCATCTAAATGCCAACCGAAGCTTTCAGGGTTTAATTTTGCACATATAGAATCAGTTGCATGAAGCCACATAGAATTTACATATATTGTTCTTAAAATTTTTTGTAGTAGGGAAATCCAATTTGGCGGTATGGAGTTGGAGTCAAAACTTTTAACCTTGCTTAAAAATTTTAATTTTTAAAATTCGCAAAGCCGTATTAGTACCGAATTTTTTGCAGACAACCCTATATCAATGTGTTCGTAATGAAACAGCGCTTATGTTGATATAATTTTTTTTTATTATCAAATCAAGTGAAATTAACTGGCATCGATATACCTGTTTATACCTGACAACCCAGTAGTTCGTCCAGGTAAATAATAGACAACCCAACGTCTGCACATTCTATATGTTTTATACTTTAAGTCAGAATTAAATTTTTCTTATTATCTTGATGTTGCAACATTTAATAAAAAAATATTATTTAAAAAATAATTAAAAATATTCTGTCCAGGATTTTTTTGGCGAACCCATTTTTAATATATTTTCTAATATACTAAATTAATTATACAATAAGTTTTATTCCATTATCAACCCGGTGAAGGTCGATTTAGGTTCGGATCTTCTACTAAGAGCAGTCGCCCAGATTCCGAAAGGTGAGTATGGCATTCGAGTTCCATCTTAGAGTGCCAGGGACAAAGTAGATTTTGTAAGCATTATTCATTTAGAATATCAAGTTTATTAAAAAAATAGAATAGCTGGTAATCGATTTGGGTAATTGAATAAAATAATTACTCACTCTATAATTCACTATACAATTATAAATCAATGTTAATTACTGAACTGAATGCTTGTAAACATTACATTTTTAATTCTTTCAATAGTCAAGATTTAAGTTAGAATTGATGGATAGCTATATACCTAATGCTATATAGCTATATAAATACTGGATAGCTATATAATTTTTTGACATTTTCTTATTATATTATTATTATTAAATATTATTATTACCTTGGAAGAAGCTCGGGAAGAAAGACCGCACGTGCTGCCTGCAGCGAGGCCCCATAGCAATCGCTAGCGATTCGCATATCTGTAGAGTCATCTGTGCTAGCTTTGAGTTGGCGTCGATTATTCTCAGAGCGAGGGCAGACGGCAACTCGCCCAATGAAGCCTTTATTGGCGACGAGTTGTTAATCAACATTTTCAGCTTCTCCAGTCCCACTATTCGAACCTAACACATGAAAAGACAGTCCTTTGTTACATTCTTGCTTTTCAGTTAAAAATAGTGACCCGTCTTTGCAGGAGTGTATTGATATATTCAATTGTCATCGTCATATTTCAGTGAATTTGCACAATAAATGGTTAACCGTGTTAAGATTGGCAGCCCAAGAAGCTCAAAGTCGCGAGAAAAGTATGAGGGTCTGAGCAATTTCTTTAATTGTTGTTCATAGTTACCTTCCAATTTTTGTCTCTGATCTCTGCTAGAAGGGCGTCTGTGATGAGAGGAGCGATATCAGTTCTGGGCCGGCTGTCATCGACAACGGGCGCTTCATCTTCCGTTGCGTCCTGGTATGTTTCTTCTATATCGTCACCCATAGAAGCCTTGCTTGCGGACTGATGGTAAAAAATAAACGTTAGAATTAATAGAGATGTCCCGGACTGTAAAAAAAATCTATGGTTAAAGATATGTGTCATAACTTTCGTACAATAAGCAAGTTAAATTAAAAGTTTAATATCAATAACTTAAATACTTGAAACAAATTTAAAGAAGTCTATAAGTAAAATCATCTCACCTTACTCACTGTCCCCATCTGCCTAACTGGCGTTGGCGGCGTACAATTAGCGTATTTATCCAGCTCCAAGCTGACCAGTAGTTTGGTGGCGGGCTTCTCGCTTTCGAAGTGTGTTATGAGCGATGGGCCCACGTATAACGATAGCACACCGAGGAAGTTGACAGTAGACGTACGGACGTTCGGATTAGTAGCAGAAAGAGCCTTCTTCGAATGGGCTACTATGGACCTTATGTTCATGCTATAACCAACAAATTTTTATGTGTTACCAGCTATAATAAAAATCTGCACAATTACTTTTGCCAGTTCTAAATACTATAATTTATACAGTATTAATATTAAGAATATTTATTTATGTACCCCATTTAAGTTTTTATGAGGAGAATAAATAAATTATTATTATAATTCAATCGCAAATAGTACAATTGTGTGCAAAAGTATAAAATATGTTTCGGTATTGAGAAAAATATATTGCACGACGTATCTGCATTAAAACAATTTCTCAAATTACTGTTCACAAACATTTTACACTTCTGTTATTACATACTGAAATAGTGAAATATCTTGTTATTAAGAAGAATTCAGTATGACATTGTGCAAATACTACGCGAGGGATTTGAGCAACGTACAGTTCATATGAACGTTTTGCGTATATGGGCGTACGGACGGCCTCGCCCACTTTATCCGCTCTAAACTTTTTACTTATTCAGTGGGCGAAACTATAAGGGTTCCTTGTTTACTACGGAACCCTAAAAATGGGAAAGTGTACATTGTGTGCATTAAGAGTCGTAATAGAATCACATAAACTACTTTTTAGAGCTCTTAACCAAAACCTGCATGTAACAGCTAGTGGATAATATTTTTTATTACCTGAATCCAAACTCTTTAATGGCAACCGACATCCAATTGAACATCTCCGACTGTACTTTAGGATTCTTCTGCGAGTCCATAGCAAAGGTTAATCCCTGGTTGAATACATGTTCTATTCCGCATGCTTCTGCTAAACTTGTCAAGTTTTCCGCTGCTATGCCAGTGCAAGATGTCTCGCCCAGTTTAGCAACCACGTCTTGTAGCACAAAATCAGCCGCCGTTCTGGTAGAAACAATAAAAACAGATAAAAACAGTTTCTATTTTTCTAATTATATTACTGAATTCTGTTTGGAATACTTACGTAGACACAGGGAAATTCTCAGTGATGTATTTGCACGCCTCGAGTCTAGCTTTTAACACTTGCACATTAGTATCTTTCAGGCCTGGCTTTTTGTTCAGAGTTCGGTACAATACTTGTGCCGACACGTCACTGGAACTAATACCCTGGATGGCCGAGTGGAAACTTTGGACTGCTGACAATCGGTTCTTCCAATTGCCATCACCCAGACCTGTAAATGGAAATAATATTCACATACTGTATGTTTTAACAGAATAGTCAATAATTAATTATAGAGAAACTGTTGTGTGTCCGGTATTTGTGGGTTGTCATATTTGCAGGTTGTTTTGTTATACCTATATCTTCACGTCAGAGCCTTGGGGGGAAGGGGTACTGTACTGTATACACACCTGTGAGCACGTCACTCTCCAGCAGCTGGGCAGCAGCGGCGTCCACCTCCTCACTGGAGAGTTCAGCCTCGCGTGGTGGAGTAGCCGCTCCGCGTCCGCCACATGTCGGTTTCTTAGAGGCAGTCTTTTTAGCTGCACCTGTCGATAAAACCAAAAGTTTACTAATGGGATTTACTTTAGACTGCGAACATTGTTCACAGAAAATAATTGTAAAAGTATTGATCAGTTCATACTACTGATAGATATATTACATCTTACATTATTTATATATTACATTTACATTCCCGATTGATTCAATAACACCATGGAAAGTTAATTTTCCAGAACAAATTTTACATTTCTCTCTTTGGTATATGTCACCTAACGCATTACGTAAATAATCAGTTTTTTTTTTTCACTTCTAATACCTGTGGTAGGCCGTTTGACAGGTTTAGGTTGTGCTGATCCGGCGACTGTTTTCGAATCGCCTTTAGCAGTGGGAGCGGCCACTTTAGCTTTCGCTTCCTTCTTCGGGGCCGCCACTTTCACCTGAATCACCGCCTAGAAACCAAACTTAAAAGCTATAAAAGTAACTAATACAACTTTGTACAGGATAAGTCGTAAAACACCAATAAATTCGCAGGACTAGGTAACTAATTATTTTGTATTTCCTTAATAAATAAAGTTATTTATTAGTGGTTTTTCGTCAGTACACGTTTCTCCCACCGTAAATTTACGAACCGATAGCGTACTTTTCGACATTCACAAGTGCCTGTAACAGTCTAGATTGAATGAATGATATTGAATTTGAATTTGTCACCTTATCGGCAAATTCCTTAATTTTCTGTTCCTTCAAGTTGTCAATCTTGCCGATATGTGGGGCAATGCTCTTCTCGCCGACTAGTTTAGTTGCCGTTCCTAGAGCCTCCGCTGCAGCATCTCTTACCGCGGGGTCTGAACGATAATTTAACACCAGTCAACATAAACGCTCAACTAAACCAAGTGTATGGATACGATAAGCTATATAAGTGTAAGGAGACTGCAGAGTTTGGCTTGTATTGTAGTTAAGTATTTCTATAAACTACGTAGTCAACTTAGGACAATCAATCAAAATGTTACAGATACGACAATAAATGACACGCTCGACAAGTTATGCAAAAAAATTATGACTAAAACTCAATCAAATGTAATGACACAATAAAGAAAACTTTGTATATTACCAGCGCTTTCCAAAAGTTTCAGTAGACCAGCCACATACGCCTTGATAAGTTTCTTACTGAAAGCGGCGGGTTGAGTAAGACAGAGCGCACGTGCTAGAAACAAAGCACTCTCCGCTTTTATAGATGGATTCTTATTCTCAAACGCTGCTAACATGTCCTCCATTATCGCTTCCAAGTTTGTCTAAAAACAGTGATCTTTATATAAAACTGGCAAATTCCTCCAATTAACACTGAGAATAGAATTCATAATTCATTGCAGAAAAATTACATATTCCGGTGACCTGACCAACAACTGATTGAGTTTAAAACACCTTTCATGGTCAAATTAAGAATAAAAAACCTGTAGGAAAATACCGTTCCTTATGGTGCGCAATTATTTCTAACCTCGCAAGATTGCCGATTTACTGACCACGGAGGTCATTAATATTATCACGAATGCTCAGGGAAACAGAACCAATTAATGATACTTACACACGGGTATATAGCATCGATAGCTTCCCTTAGAGCGGTGACCACGTTGGATTTCTTCTCCTTGAACTTTTCCAGTATGGCTTGCACGCATGCCACCGCGTACGGTTGGAATTTGTTCCGTAGACCACTAGCAACCATGCCCAGAAGACGACCGCCCAACGCAACTAACATTACGTTGCTGTCCTTCGATATCACCTAGAATATAAGTTTTATTAAAAGAGTTCAAAGAGTTTTGTGAATTTTAACATTTACATTTGCGAAATCTTCTCCGTTGTATGGCAATGTTTCTCATGTTCGTTGTCTCGCTTTATTAATAGCTCGACGAAATAGCTGCGTCCTTGCCATTACGCTTTCGCAGACTGCGAAAAACATCTAAGCGGATTCTGCAGATATAGCATATTTATGGTATCGCTTAAAAGTACTCCAGTACATAAATTCACTAAAACTAAAATTTTGACAACTTGTTATTATAGAGCAAACCATAAATAACTCTACCTCATTTTAACCTACAGAGAACAAAATAAAACAACTATCATAGCATTTTTTTAATAAAATCAATTACCTTCTTTAAAGCTCGGACCAAATCAGCGTAGTCTCCAGGCTCCAATCTCGGTGCAGTTTTCAGTAACGCCTCCAAAGAATCCAAGGCCTCTTTTCTTTCTTGCCATTTCTTAGCTTCTAATTTGTCGTAGAAATCCTTGGGTAGTTTGCTTAGGATCTCTACCGGATCTAATAGATCATATGCGTCGACATCGCCGGAGTCACCGCCAGCGGTTTCTGCGTCATCATCTTCTGCCGCTCCTAGTTAAACGATCAAGGGTAAGTACCCTCTCTATTAAATAATAGAGGTATATTTGGTGGCATACACCATTCATATAAAAGATATATAAAACGCGAAATTCGAAGTCGAGAAATAAGTTAAATGGGACGTAAAAGTAATTATCGTTAATTCCTATATTATATAGTGGACAGAATTGCAGGATAGTAAAGTCCAATCAATTTAAGCCTTAATCTGTTTATAGTTATGTTCAAAATTGACTACAGGAATTTGAGCTTTTCTTGAAACCAAAATGTTCTGCTGTACTATTGCTAAGATTGGCAGTGGCTCTAAAAGCTCACCGTCAGCAGAGTCTGCGGTGGGCGTGTCCCTGACTCGGTGTTGTTGCGAGCGTAGATATCTCGTCGGCTGAGCGCGCCCGCCACCTGCGCCGAACGATTCCCTCAACTCTTGTTGCACGACCGCCTGAAGGGACGCTATATGCGGCTCTATAGCTGGACCAATCCATCTGCGATATCATTAAATAACCACATGTATAATTTCGATCTTGATGACGCAGCGGCGCACGTTTGGCCAGTGATGCACAAGTTGAATAAATTTGGGCCAAAGCATGGGTGACTAAAAACTTAGTATCTCGAGCTGCACCATGCTTCGAAAGGCATTTAAAGCCATTGTTGTGTCTTAGTCCTAGTCCACCAATGTGTTATGATCTCGGATGATGGGTAGCATAGCACATTCTCCCTATTTGATTCTATCAATGTGTCCAGCAGTGGGGCATTAATAATATGCTGATGATAATTTAATTCAACAGTGTAAGAAAATGGAACTACAAATCGGACGAATAGCATGACACCTGGCTCGGAACTTCATACTCGGCGCGCATCCCGAAAAGTCCTGCGACAATGTTAGTCTCTTTAGGGTTTCGAACTTTAGCGTTATGTTCTTGTTTTTATTTGTTTATTAATAATAACAATATGTTCTCTTAGTAATTTTTTTAAATACAATAATAAGTTCGAAATTACATGAAGTTGCTTTGCACATTGTACTTTGCACAAATTATCATAATAGTCAAGTATCATGTAAATTCATCTAACTTGTAAGTACAAGAATTCTTTTAACTTTATTTATTCTTTATATTGTATGCAAAAGTAATTTTACTTAGTTAGTTTCATGAAAGTAATTCAAGAACTACAACAGGCAAATTTACAATAATTTAAAGCTACTCTTCATTGTCAAAGTCAAAATAATCTTTATTCAAATAGACTACTTAAAAGTACTTTTGAATCGTCCAACATTTTTTCCCTACCAATCGTTCAGGACGTCTTTTGGCTGATAAGAACGAGCAAGAAACTCATCATCACTAATAGGAGTAATGACATTTAAAAAAACCATGTTATTACCAGACCAATACATTATAAATAGAGAGAGGTCTTATAATGATAACATAATCATTTAATAATAATGGATACAAGATAATTTTTGATATATAATGAGTTAAAAAAGTAATCACCTATCCAGTTGCTGGATCATCTTAAGTCCAAGCATTCTTATCTGTCACATAATCGGATACCTTATAATAAGCATATTTAAAAAGTATTTTTTTTTAAAGAAAATTTAAACTGTCATTAGACTATTTATTGCTCTCCCAATGTACATAAGCATTAACATTAATATGAATAACTGGATTAGAGCTTATTAAATTAGCAACTCAAATCATATTAATACAGAATGAAACATTAAGTCTATGATACAATATTCACCAATAATAACTTAACAAACAATAAGACGCCTACTTAAAAACTATTTATTCAGAGTAATAAATAACTAAAAACCAAGTGAAAGACAGTAATTTGTAAATGAACAAGTAAAAGAAATCTAGGTTTGTAGGTTATATGCAAATTATACTATTGTCTTTCTTGTATAGATTTGTTTGCAATGATGTAGAGAAATGAGAACACATAATTTGTAGTATGATTATTATCCTTATTATTTCTGATTGATGAGAAAACTCTATTTTAGTGTTTTTTTACCCGACTACGGCGGCGAAGCGAAAGGGAGAGTTATGATTATGGCCGGTATGTATGTAAGAATGTTCATCTGTTCCCTTATTACTTGGAAATTACTCATCGTAACTGGACAAATGAGGTTTCATTAGAAGCGTCTCAGTTGTCCTCGTGTTATAGGTTACATTAAATTGACAACAACGCCCTCTAGAGAGCATAAAGTAAGAAGTTGATCATCCCTATTATAAAATAGCTATCACTATTAAAATAAATTACTTGTTTTAAATTTATTAGGGCGTGATTTATTGTAAAAAAAAAAGCTGATGTTGAACAAACCTATGCATTTCAATGACGAGTGCCTTCATTTCATCTCTTACAGTCTTGTCCCTGTCTGCTAGCAGAACCGGTATCTTCTTCACCATTGGTTTGATAGCAATCACTTTGTTCCCGAACTGCTTCAGCGACGTATTCAAGGCTGTCACACATGCAGCTACTACCTTCGGATTCTTTTGTTCCATGCCTTTTAGCAGTTCCTCCTCAACAACTTCATGTTTTTCTATCTCTACGTACATAAGGATGATCTGTGGAATAATTGGGATTAGTTTATAATGAGCAACAAATACATTGGAATCAATATTTTATTATTTGAAGCACTCTTAACAATATGTAAAAACTGAAACTTCAATGACTCATTATCCAATTGGTCTTTTAAGCTGGATCAGTAAGTATAGAACGCAAAGACAACATTTTTAGTTAGTTATAATTAAAGCCTCACCTGTAAAGCTAAGTCTCTAGTCTTAGTTTTAGGTGCCGCTATGCACTTGGCAACAATGCCAGACACAACCTCTCCAGCTGTTTTGCCAGCATGACCACAGTTTTCTACGAAGACCAGAGCTGCTTCCAGACCTGAATGAAATTAAACCTTTATTCAAAACAATAATTTGTCGATCAATGCAAGCAAAACCGTGGTCGTCCCATTCACAAGGAAACGAAAACTGGACAAGCTTTCGCCTCCGACCATGAATGGGAGGTTTATTCCGTTCTCGACGGAGGTCAAGTATCTGGGGGTAACACTGGCCCACAAACTTACCTGGAACGCACATGTAGACTTAATTATACAGAAGTCTAAAATAGCTCTGATGATATGTTGTCGGCTAGCGGGAAATAGATGGGGCTTGAAACCCAATATAGCCCTCTGACTCTACACAGCCATCATAAGGCCGATGGTGTCTTACGCCTCGGTGGTTTGGAGTAGAAAAACAACACAGAATACTAACTATTATATCAAGATTTAACAGTCTACAAAGGATTGTCTGTCTTATAGTAACAGGAGCTATGTCTTCCACCCCAACTGCTGCTCTTGAGGCTCTGCTAAACCTGCCGCCCCTACATCTACACATTGAAATGGTGGCGAGGGATAGTATGTACCCCTGTACACTGTCACTAGCATGGAGACGAAGACATGGCTATCATGTAATTTGAGGTACCTGAAGGACTCAATATACAATATACCAATCTTGGGGATGCCTACTGACACCATGCCCCCGAGAGTCGATTCACACAGGTCATATCATGTGGAGATACCCACCAGGAACGACTGGTCAAACAGATCCGGCCCTGATGTAGGATGTGGAATTTATGGAGAAGCCCCAAGGAAGGCTATAAGTCTGAACATGGGAAAGTACTCCTCAATATTCCAGGCGGAGGTGTACGCCATTTTGGAATGTGCGGCAGCCAATCTGCAAAACAAATACCTCAATCGTACTATCTACATTCACTCTGATAGTCAAGCTGCACTCTTAGCACTAGCCTCCGACGTAACTAGATCGAAGCTGGTCGAGAACTGCAAACAGACATTGAACTCTTTGGGCAACAACAACAAAGTAGTTTTACGATGGGTTCCGGGTCACGCTGGACACGAGGGCAATGAACAGGAAGCACGTGATGCACCCAGACGATATTAAAGAACTCACGGTCAAGAAAATACTACATTTTCTTGTAGAATGTAATCTTGACCGTGAACTGTAGCATGTGGAGATCACAATAGATCAGCTAACCCAAGATAATCCGTAACTCGAAACAATACAATACAAAACCTTTATTCAACGTAAAGCAAAAACAAACTATTTCCATACTAGATCCTTTCCACAATAGTGGACCAATTATAATAGTTGAAAGAGGTGTGGACAACTTTATAGTTTATCTTAAAGATATAAATTATTTTATATGAATTACCATAAGCAACCCAAACATTGCATTATCACATAAATCAGATTAGATTTTAACAGACATTACTTTCACGGTTAGTTAATTTGTAACAAAGAATTTGGAGTAGATTCTACATGTGACTACATATACAATACACACGTGAGTAATCACCAGACAGTTTATGAGATCACAAGACCAGTGTTACTAGAAGCCTAATAACATACCTATTTAATCTTTAATGCTGTCTATAGGATCAAATACATAAAAATAGTTGA